GGTCCTAAACCGTTTAGGGCTTTATATGCCAACATTAACACTTTGAAATCTATGCAGAAAACAAACGGGCAGCCAGTGCAGGGCAGCCAGAGTGGGGGAAATATGCTGCTATTTTCTCACCCTAGTGAGAAGTCTGGCCACCGTATTCTGCACCATTTGAAGCTTCCACATCAGTTTCAAAGGTAGCCCCATGTAGAGCACATTACAGTAGTCTAATCTTGGGACTACAAGCGCATGGACCAGAGTGGTGAGTGCCTCGACATCAAGATAGGGACGCAACTGGGCAATCCGCCAGAGATGGAAATAGGCAGAGCAGACCACTGACACTACCTGGGTTTCCATGGTGAGCGCTGGATCCAGATGGACCCCCCAAGCTGTGAATCTCACTCTTCGCGGTGAGAGTCACCCCCCCAAAAGAGAAGGAATTTCCCAAACCACCCACCCTCAGGACCTCTGTCTTGTACAGGTTCAGCTTCAGTCCATTCTCCTGCATCCATTGCAGTTCAGCCTTCAGACAGCACTGAAGGGATGGAACGGTGTCCACGGTTGTTGCAAAAAAAGGAGATGTAGAGCTGCATGTCATCAGCTGATGACCCCACCCAGCGGCCTCATATAGATATTAAACATCATTGGGGAAATAATCGAGCCCTGCGGAACCCCACAGTTGAGACTCCACGGGGCTGATACACTGTCCCCAAGCTGTACTTTCTGAGGATGGTCTCCCAAGAAGGATTGGAGCCAGATAAGTGCCAGACCACCGATTCCCAACTCGGAGAGCCTCCCCAGGAGGATACCGTAGAGAACTTATAGATCGATACCGTAGTCAGCGGTATTGAAGGCGGCTGAGAAATAGAGGAGGACCAACAGAGACATTTTGCCTCTGTCAGCCTCCCTCAATAGGTCATCAAACAGGGCAGCCAATGCCATTTCTGTGCCATGGCAGGCCATTGGCTTCATCCAAAAGCGCCTGGAGCTGGTCAGCCACCACCCTCTCTACCACTTTGCTAAGGAAGGAAACATGGGTGACGGGCCTATATTTGCCAATGTTGTCCACCGCCAAACTTGGTTTCTTCCTTATGGGCCTAATGAGTGTCTCCTTGAGCACAGGGGGAAACTTGCCCACCTGTGGAGACCCATTAGTTACTGCAGTGGCCCATGCTGTTGTTACAGGCCTGGCTGCTTTGATTAGTCAGGCCGGGCAAGGGTCAAGGGAGGAGGTGGCGGCACGAAAGGCGATCAAGCACTTTGTCCACCATATCTGGTGTCACAGGCAGAAAATGATTGCATATCTCCGGGCAAAGCAGAGCACTAGATGTCTCTGCTCGATCTACTGTTTTAAAATAAGGGATAAGATCCTGGCGGATGGCCTCCACTTTGGATTTTAAAAATGCTGCAAATTGGTCAGGTGAGATGCTAGTGGGAGGCCAATCACTGTGACCAACTCTGGATAGATCGCAGACTATATGGAAAAGTTCTACCTGCTGATTAGAAGCTTCACTTATCTGGACAGCGAAGTGAGCTTGACTAGCAGCCCTCACCTTAGTAAGGTAATAGTTAGTCGTGATCCCTGACAGCTTTCCGATTATATTCCGTCGGGTTCCGTCTCCAAATGCACTCCAGCCTTCTCCTATTCTACTTCATAGCTCACAGCTGCTGGTTTAATCAGGGCGGTGGATGAGCTCTGCAACAGAGAGGGTGTTTAGGAGAGATCATGTCAACAACCCTGGTGATGGCGGCAAGCCAGCCATCAACCAGAGCCTCGACAGGACTGCTAGTCAGATCTCTTCCCTTCCCTGGCAATAAGATTAGTGCATTTCATGGCCAAGCCAGGGTTTGGACGCACGTCTCCCAACCCTTGTACAGACTCAAACTTCTATGCCGTGCGGATAAGAAATATTTGGATACAACTTGAGAAAGGGTTGGGGTTCCATCATCACCACCACCAGTAGTTCCCAGAATTGCGTAGCCAACATGGCTCATAACAATATTGACTGGAGGATGGTGGAAAACTACTGTCCAGAAAAGCAGGTTTTCTGTTCAAAATACATCTGTTTGTAAGTAAAGAGAAAAAAAATAAGGTCAACAGTAGAATCATTCAGGAGTTGAAATGACATTTGGAAATACGGCCCACTTTCCATCAGGTAATTGCAACTCGGGGTGGGAGTTGCAGCTAAAGTCTTCAAAACGGGCTGTTTTTGTGAATGAGGATGTGTTTTGTTATAATGGGGGGGAAATTACTTGACTTTCTAGCACAGCAAAAGAGAGTCCTTGAATTGGTGGGGAGCACTTGGATGTCAATAGTACGGTTCTAACCCTTTTGTCTGACTGGAAATAGCGTTCAATTGCCAGCACCTCTTGTGAGCTGAAGAAAGGGGAAGGATGCATTTTGCTTCCATGGGGATAAGAGGACTTGTGTAGGCATCAATTTTGAACACAGGATCATTTTCCATTTTTCTGTTAATGATGAGTGGGAGGCCTGTTGCCTAGGCTTCAGCTTCGCTCCTTCACTCATACTTTCTTCTTTGCAGGGGAAATCCAAGCCAATTAAGATTTTATCGAGACTCACGCTTGTTGTTTCTGATCCATCGCACTGCAATATTCTAGTAAGTTTCTAATGCTCTTCACAGGAATTCCCCCCCCACACACACACACGTAAAGAAAGAAAAAGAATATAGTGGTTTAGAATCTTTTGTATTCTGAAAAGGAAGACTAGAGATGAAAGGGTATTTCCTTTTTCCAGAACACATTGTTAACTTGTGGAAGACTCTTCTACCACATCTGGCAAGGGCCCCAAAATAATAATTTGGGTTTTTTAAATAAAAGGTCTAAGAAGGGACGTGGTGGCGCTGCGGGCTAAACCGCAAAAGCCTGTGCTGTAGGGTCAGAAGACCAGCAGTCGTAAGATCGAATCCACGCGACGGAGTGAGCTACTGTCGCTTTGTCCCAGCTCCCGCCAACCTAGCAGTTCGAAAGCATGCAAATGCAAGTAGATAAATAGGGACCACCTCGGTGGGATGGTAACAGCATTCCGTGTCTAAGTCGCACTGGCCATGTGACCACGGAAGATTGTCTTCGGGCAAAACGCTGGCTCTATGGCTTGGAAACGGGAATGAGCACCGCCCCCTCGAGTCGAACACGACTGGACAAAAATTGTCAAGGGGAACCTTTACCTTTACTTAATAAAAGGTCTAAGGTATTGATACATGTAAGACAAAAATAATTAAAAGCTTAAGTATCTATTGCTAATAAAAAATCTTAATAAAATCTTTAATTGGGAAAAGCACAGGACCATTTGCAGCTGCTTTTCCCCAGTTTTAAGTCCGTTGTATAACACATTCATTTTTTTTAAAAAAAGAGGGTCTGATGTAATTAATTATATGAGTTATTGATTCCTTATTTTAAGCATACCAACATTAGAAGCTCTTAGAAAACATATCTATCCCAAATCATGTAATTGCTCCATAATTAATTGTACCATATCACCATATGATTAACTACACCAAATGATTTGTGGTAGTTATTGTCTTTTGTTTAACGTTACTATTTGGGCAATTTCTGAAATAAAGCTGATGTTTCCCTCATGCAAATTCACCTCATGAGGGTGAATTCTTAACAGTATTGGAAGAACAGCGGGAATTCTTTTCTAGATAACCCATAATATCCACTACTGCCAGTTGCTTTCAGAATTCTAAGACAAGCTTTAAAGCATTTTAAAGATTTTTCATCCCTGAGGTTTGGGGTCTCTTCATTTGATGGGCGGTGCTCCATCATCAGAGTGCACCCATTATATTGTCGTTCTCATCTTGAATCTTAGAATGCTCCCTCTCGGCAGAAAAATAGAAATTATATGGTTTCTGTTGAAAGTTTTAGTTTCCTTTTAAAATAATTTCAAAAACATGTCATTTTTCCACACTTTGCTGTTGAAGAGAGTAAACTGGAAAAACTGTCCATGGAGTTGTGTGAGTCCAGCAGTGGAGACAGCCTGGTTAGGGTTTCTGCTTCTTTTTAATCTGGCTTGTCTGATAAATATCTCTCTGTTTCTTCCTGCACCTAGAGAGCAACATCAACGAACATAAAGTTTTACGACATATTTGCTGTATTTCCCAAGAATGGGAAACTCTTCCATGTAAGTTTGGTGAAAATATATTTGTTATACATCTGAACTTCACTGTGAAAGATGGGATGTGATATTGCAGGAGCACAGGAGAGATGGGATTGCCGGCACCAACATTTGCACTGCACATTTTTTCATGTGACATCAGTGTCCTTATAAAATGAAAATATATGGTTCGGTAGTTTAGCTATGAGTCCCTAAGGCTGTTGACTCAGGTTCAGTCTTGAGGAAGGAGGCTTCCAAATCACTGACATGATGCAATGGGAAGATTTCTTCAAAGAGCCTTCCCTAGTTTGGTCCCTTCCAAATGGTTCAGGCTGGAGTGTCTTGTCATTATCACCCAGCGCGTCCAAAACATCTGGAAAGAGTGAGGTCGGTTCAGCCTGTTCTGAGGGCAAAGTAGGCACTATGCTGATCAGTTGGTTGGTAATTATGTAGTAGTTAGTAATTGTTAATTAGTGATACAGCCCATGCCCCCCCCACCAGTATTTTCCCCTAATGCAAATAGCAGGGGACTGGCAGAAAATCCTCCTTCACCCCCTTGGATCCTAAATCCCTCCTAATTTATTTTTTAGAGAGCCATTCCTCCAGGTGCTAATCGAGTGCACATCTTTGTATCTAGCGTGATCCTGAGACGCTTGGATACATCTTTTAAATAGCATTTAGCGGCAGGTTGGTACAACTCAGAGAGCAGGCTATGCATGTGAGGTGGGCAGTCATCCAGTTCTCGTCTTTTATCAGCCATTGATTCACAGGGCATGTCTCGGTTCTAGCTCCTCATTGGCAATATGGACATAAGAACATATGGACATCAGGTAGCATAGAAGAGGTAATGTTACCAGTAATGTTATCAGCCTTCTAAGGCTCCCGATAAGGTTACTGAGAATAATGCAAATCAAGTTCTCTGAAATGATAGAAACACTGGGTAAATGCTCTTATGATGATGATGATGATGACATCTACAGAAATTGGCAAAAATCTACAAAAATTGGGACAGCATACATACTGCACCGATATTTAACAGATACTTAGGGTTTTTTTTGTTAAAGCTTGCATCTGTCCTATAATACCAGTCAATGTTTTTAAAATCTTGATTAGTTTTACAACAACAACAACAACAACAGCATCCCATCAAGACAGTTCTGACATGGCAACCTTTCTGTAAGTTTTTCTCAATAGAGAGCACTCCAAAGTGGTTTACCGTTCCCTTCTTCTGGGAGCATATCTGGAAATGAATGTACAGCTTGTTCAGGGTAACACAGTCTGGCTCTTCTGGGATGGGCAGAAGGGAATCAGACTCCCAGACTCGGACTCCACAGCCAGATACCTTTCTCACTGACCTATCCAGCCAACTTAAAGTGCTCGTTACTATTGTCAAATAGGATTTTTAAGGATGACTGCAGCTTTTATTCTATTTTAAACTTAGTTTCACTTGTGATGCGGCAGAAACCCCTATGTCCACCAGGTGGTGGCATTGCCTCTATTATGGGAGGCAAAAAGGCAAAAAAAATTAAATAGGGAACTATGGAACATTCTTCCTCTTTCACCTTCACTGCAAAGCTTTGCTTTTATTGAAGAATGCCTCATATTTTACATTGTTGTTCATTATGGGAGGATCAGCCCTTTTTACTCATGAGCTTTTATATACGATCCTGATAAGTGTTGTGTTCTGTTTACAATCTCCTCTTGCATGATACAAATAATGCTACAGAAATTTTAAGAATGGAATTAATAGCTGCTGACTACGAGCAAGAAGTTGCCCCCACCATTTGGTAAATTTACTTTTTTCAGCAAAACAACTAGAATGGAGGGGGGGGTGTCCAGAAAAGTAAAATTTCCAAACCACAGGAATAGCTTGAACTCTCCTTAGAGAAGCAACGTACTCCTTGTAAGTTGTAGCCTACCAGTAATACTGCCCTACTCTACTGACTTGTTCTGAGGGTTACACTTATAGATGTGAAGCTTAAAGAAAAAAAATCCCTATGTAAATAAAGGCAGTAATTTTTAATACTATGAGAAGGAGGCCATTCTTTTCCACATTCTGTAGAACCTTATTTAGGTTTGTTTAAGTTCTCTATTTGATTTCCACGCCCTCTGGTTATAAGACTTCTTGGCTATTGTTTGTGGTCTTAAGTCACAAGGTTTGAGAAGGAATGTTGGTAATAATAATAAAAAAAATATGACTAGCTTCTCCCCAACAACAGTCACTGTTTGGCTCTGAAATGACTGCCTTCCTGTACTCATTAACTGGAGATCCTGCCAGTTCTAGGATTTCATGTACTTTTTTGTCCAGTTTTTGGGACCAGCGCATACAAATATCCTGAATTTGTAGTTAGATCCTGATTTTTATTTATGGTGGAACCCAGCCCTTGGACATTAAGGGTCCTGTATGTCGGTGGTTTCCAGGATAACCCAAGTGTTCTGGACTTCAGTTCCCAGATGCCTTCACCGCCAGCTGTGCCGGCCGGAGTTTCTGGGAGTTGTAGTCCAAGAACACCTGGGTAACCCAAGGTTGAGAATCACTGCTGTGAGTGAGCTTTTCTGAATTGGAAGGCCTCTCAGAGTGGCTTTTTTGTCAGCCAAAACAACAACAACAACAGCAACCCCTTCGGTCTATATTATGGAAAGAAAGGATATAAAAGGAAAGGGTGATGGAGAAAGAAAAAGAGAGAGAGAAAAGTGCTTTCCTCTAAGCTGTTGTGTTCTGCTCCAGGGCTCTTTGGTGCTAATACATGGTGGGGAATGTGGAGTGTGATTGTTTGTGCAGCATTATCTTTTTCAGGTGTGCCATTTCTAAAAATAAAAGTTGGCTTTTTAACACAGGTGGCCTGCACGACCTTAGACGTGGATCTTGTGTGCCTCCACGTAACCGAAAAGCTGCCCTTCTACATCAAGAGACCCTCTGTTAATGTGGTAAGAGATTCTGGAGACATTGCTATAAATGTTGCAGCACCCTCGGGACGAACACATTTATTTGAGTGTGAGTGTTTGTGGATTGCAGTCCACTTTGTCAGGCTCTTGGAGCACGATATCTGGGCCAGAGCTTACATGAAAATGTCACGCACTCTGCTAAGGCTTCTTATTTTTGTTGCACTACAGTATTTGTCTTTGGCTGCGTTGTTTTTTTTTTAACTTGCCTCTTGAAGGTCTTCGGTGGCTTTGGAAAAACACATCAGGTCCCCTATTAGGGTTGCTGGCAGGAGAAGAGGAGATTGTAGCCTTTCTTTGCCTCTTTCGGCAACACCAGCACAGCCTCCCCCTCTCCATGTCTGTGTTTTGGGGCAGGCTGGTGGAGGTAGGATCGACCTGAGCCTCCTCTCAACGCCCGTGTGCATGTGAATGCTCACGCCTGACTCCCCAGCTGACACCTTGATGGGACTGAAATGTTTGGGTCTTCCAGAACTAGGCAGGCTTCTCCTTTCCAGTCTGTGTATTGGAGACGAAGCCATTGCAGCTTAGCTTTGGCCTTCTTTGTGTTCATGACTAGTTGGCCTCCTTCCATCGCTACCCCTTTGCCTGTTGTGTTGGGAGATGGCGCCCTCCATTCCCAGTATGCCCACTGGCATTCCAGAGCACATTGAGGCTCAGTGACCTTATCCGGCTGGCTTTTACTCTGTGCGTGAAGTAACTGTACTATGCAAAAAAAAAAAAAAGCCGAAGATGCTCACTCTTGGGCTGTATGGGACTCCTCGTTCTGGGCTGACTTTGCTTCTCCAAAGCTAGTTTGATGTGCCTGCCTTTGGAGTTTGGAGCTGCTGCTAGGGAATGGCTAATGATTCAGAAATCCAGATGCACTGATGGAAATGATGGTGGTGTTTTGTTTTTAAACGTTCTGTATGTCAGAAGCATGGGTGCCTCCTTTTCCAGAGCAGATGCTTGATCCCACACGTTGCCTTTCTTTCACAGAGCAGGTGAGGGGGGGGAAAAGATATCAGTAATAAGCAGTTAACTGTGCAGCTTGGTGTGTTACTCTGTTCAGTGCCTGCTTATTAATTGCTTTTCTTACCTGTGAAGGCAATAGACCGAGGCATCTACTTTGAACTTGTTTACGTGCCTGCCATCAAAGACTCCACCATGAGGAGGTACACCATTTCAAACGCGCTCAGCCTGATGCAGATCTGCCGCGGAAAGGTGAGGTTAAAAATGAAAGCAGTTGCCCTGATTCTTGCCTCTGAACCATTTCCAGTTTGCTCGTTGTCTTGAGCGTAGGTGGCCTAGAATCTTTGTCTTTGGAGTGGTTGTGAAATTAATGAGATTGTCAACGCATGCTGTCTGATGAAGGCGACGGGCCTGTTTCTAATGACGGTGAAAATATTTTCTTGTTCAGTTTCTTTGTAACCCAGAAAACTCTGTGAATCCTGGGAGAAATCAGAGGCAGCGCTGTGGATGGTAACGCAGCTGTCTCTCCTGCCCAAACAGGCATTTGGTGCCTTTCCCTTGGACAGCCATGTGGGAAGATGTGGAATGAAAGGCCAGCCCTTCCACAGCTGTCTAGCACAAGTGTGAGGACTATGTGAAGACTCCAGATGTGCACTACAGATCCCATCAGCCTTATTCAGGATGGCCAGAGAGCAGGACCATGAGGGTTGTAATCCGACATGCGTTAAGTTTCTTCCTCTTCCCTCCTCCCACAGCAGTGCTACTGCTCTGGATCCTTCGTGCTCTGGAGCAAGAGAGTTGAAGTGCTGTTTGGCTTCTGGGTGGCCAGTTCAGAAAAAGAGAATAGGAAATGTTTCCCTTCTTCATGAAACCTTCCTCCTTTTCACAAAGAAAACCGCAGCATTTCATGGTGGTAGCACTAACTTTAGGAAGTGATGGCAGGGTTTGGCTTTTTCCTCTTCCCTACCCATCCCTTTTTCCTTTTGTGTTAATCCTTTTTATTTGTCAGCTGACAAACTGGTTTTGTTCCTTTGTCATCTGACCTGGTAGCCTATACAGGTGAGGAGTCAACATGTTTTACCTGAAATTAAAATTAAATAAATGTGTGATGGGACATAGAAAGGGGATCTCTTCCCCCCACCTATTCCATGAGTAATCCCAGGGGAACCAGATAGTCTTTTAAGTGTACATCCCTCCTGCACCTTAGGATATTGTGACCAGTTAAGGAGTAAAGAAAACCAGTTCCTTCTACCACTGCCCCTTTTTCTTCAACTGATACCCTGAACATTGGTATTCTAAGCTCTGGAATAAATATTCTGTGGGAACTACTGAGCATGGATCTTTGTTCTGCTTTCCCCCTTCCATTTAATTGACAAACCAGTGCCTGAGAAGTCTTTGGATTGTGCCAACTAACCTATCTTGAGTTCAGTGTGTCCCCTTTTTCCTTTCCAGCAGATCACTCACACTTGGTACTGGGAGGGGTGATCACGAACCCTGCAAACTCAGAAGGGACCTAATCGCCCCGTGTGTTATTGCAGAGTGGAGCCTCAACTCTACAAAGGAGACTGGAAAAGGGATTCTTCTTGAAAGTTCTCACCTTTCAACCCTTGTCTCCTTTTGCCAGGAATGGCAACCAGCTTTTGAAGACTGTTGGCTTGAATAGTGATGGAATGCGCTTTTTTTGATAGGAGCCTTGTGTAAAAGGTTCCTGACAACACTTTCCCCACGGCTGGGCCCGTCCCTCTAAGCATGTTGTTATTTTCCCCGAAACTCTGTTACTCATTATGTGATTGTCTTCCCATCTTTTATTTGGAACGAAGAATTAAAGGGCAGAGTTGGAAGCAGGCTGGGGAGCAAAATTCAGAGCTTACATTGGGGTGTGCAATGGAGTCTCCATCAGGCGCTTTCCACCTAAAGCTTCATCAGAGTGGCACGTATCTCTGGATTACTTTGCAAGAATGTAGAAGGATGTGTTCAGTGCAGAATTCTACTTCTGAAGCATCCGGGCTTTTTGCCGAAACAAAATATTTTCTAGAATATTTGGAAAGATGTTTGTTGGACTGGAGCTCACCTTGCTGGCTTGTGGGATTCTGGGATTTCTGATGCAAAACAGTAACTTCCCAAAATTCCATGCAAGGCCGAGGTCTCCAAAACCTGAGTGCAGGAGCTGAATATGAATTCCTGTGGCTCGGACATGAACAGTGCTTGCACCTTCCTCTCTTGGTGCTGTCTCTGTGGCTAACAAAATTAAATTGGGTATCTGCCTTGTTCACCATCATTGTTGCTCCTTAATAAGCAGTGGACACTGATTATAGCTGAACATCAGATTAATATATATGTCCTTTCGAAGACAAATTGTTCAAATCCATTTGCAAATCTTTTTAGTTTGCATCATTTAAGGTTGGAATTAAGGATTTCTGCTTAGCATTCCAAGCACCATCATGGTGTAGTATTTAGTGTGGAGGACTAAGACGGATGGCAGAACTGAAATCCTCACACAGCTCCCTGGTGTGTGGTGTGTGTGTGTGTGTGTGTGTGTGTGTGTGTGAGAGAGAGAGAGAGAGAGAGAGAGAGAGAGAGAGAGAGAGAACTCAGGCCCCTTTCTCTCTGCCTAACCCTATGTCACAGGGTTGTTGTGGGGAGTGCCAGAAATGAATGGGAGGTTGCTCACACTGAAGCATTGTGTGGCCGTCTTGTGAGCAGGGACAGGACTCATCATTGGGGGCACCACAGTTGACAGGAAAAAAAGAGACACGTTCAACAACTTATGTTTAGATTAAACAGGGTTTTGTTGTTGTTTTTTTAAAATGAGTAACATTTTCTTTGTTTCCTAGAATATAATTTTGTCCAGTGCAGCAGAAAAGGTGAGTGTATCTGTATGCTTGTGGGTCTGTGTGTGCAGTTTAATTTTGCAAGGATTCATAGATTGCTGAAATCCATCTTACATTGCCCCTTTACATTTCTGTTTTCCAAACGAGAGTAGCATTGACACCTCACACCTGTCCATACACTCTGGTAGCACACTCGCGGTCTGTGCAGATGCCCCCGAGTCCCTTTGCTTTTGCTTTGCCCATGAGAGGGGAAGCATTGGGGAAGAGCTGCCCCTATACCTTTTCCTCCACCAAGCCCACCACACACCTTCTTGGCAAGCTGGTAAGGACATGGTGGGGAGGGGAAGGAAGGTATGCGAGGAGTCACGTCTCAGCACACTTTCCTTGCCTTGAAGGTCATGCTCTTCCCTGCCCACTAGCTGGCACAGTCTCTCTGTCGGGATGGGAGAGGGATCAGGCCTCCCTGCCCCCTGCACACCCCCAATACAGAGCTTTGAACCACCACAAGTGTGGTGGCTGTTATGAGTATGATCAGTGTTCTTCGTAGTGATCTCTGAATTCACACAAATGGGTTTATCCTGCGCCTGCGCAGAACATTCGGAAGATTCTAGAGCTTAGGAAAAAGAAACAATTTAATTCCCCACCCCCAAGAGTATAAGCTCTGCCTCCTCAACCTTCCTTTCAGTTCCTCTTTTTCCGCCATTCCACTAGGACATTTGGAATAGTATAGCGACTTTAAGGAAAGTTTCCTAGCCTACCTCAACCTTCCTTTCAGTTCCTCTTTTCCCCCCATTCCACTAGGATATTTGGAATAGTAGAGAGACTTTAAGGAAAGTTTCCTAGCCTGTTTGGCTTTCTTTTCTTTACTATTTGATTCTCTTTGATTTTTATTCCACACTGGTGCAGTAGAACCTAATAGATTTAATTTTTTTCCCCGTTCTATCGCCCTTCCCGCCTCCCCCCCGCCAACGGATTCCCCCTCCATTTTCTCTTTTTGCTTTCCCTTTTTTTTATGGCCCCTCGGGGCTTCAAACAGTGCTCTATTTGTTCACAAAAGAGCCCTCTAACAGACAGGCATGATCAGTATTCATTTTGCCTGGGGGAATTCCATCGTGCCCAGTCATGCACTGCGTCCAATCGTGCAGCCTTTCTAAGCAGGCTTTTAAACTCTGGCTCCAACAGCTTCGTTCTTTCCTCTGCGAAAAGACTCTCACTATGGAGATGCCTGCCCTCCTTACACCGACACCTCGCGCGGAGACTTCTAAATCAGCTCCCAGCCCGGTTGAGCAATCTTCACTCACCTCAGCGCCATTACTGGTTAAGCCCAAGGATTCAGTAAAACCACCTAAGCCAGTTGCCACCAAGGTTCCATCATGGTCTGTTGTTCCTGTTAAAAAGAAAAGAGACAAGGAAAAGCCTAAGAAACCAAAGAAATCAATTACCTCTCCTTGCAGCCCAAATACTACTGGAGGATTCTTCAAGAGAGGTCATCGGGCTTTCTGATATGGAGGAACAGGTCATTCCTCCAGTCCAAACATCCCAGGATATCATGAGCATGTCTCCAAGCTCGGGCCATTTTGGGGCTGTCAAACCTTCCAGCCTGGTCATTGCCCCTCTTAGCCTTTGATCTTCAGGGCGGGCGGATACAGAGACTCAATCAGAACAGGAGTCTGCTTCGTGTGCTCCTACAAAGCGTATGGAGAAACACAAACATGCCTCTCCATACCAACCTCAATATATCGAGCATCGGTATCATCCACAGGGTCCACCATATGGTCACCCATTCTTTGGTCCATACCAACCTTACCCATATCATGGCTATGGATACCCAGGTGACTACAGTGGATTGGCTTGCTCTCATCCATCCTAGTACCCTTCCATCGTTCTGCCAATGGAAGTTCATCCACAACACCAGCATCTGTCTACGCCTCTAGCTCCTCCTTCTCGAAATAGACCAACATTAACAGTGCCTCCCATGCCCCCGAAGCACGCTAAACACAGCAGGAGCAACCCTGCTGTACAGATTACCACACTTTGCTCTGGTCCTGAGGGACACGATGCAGAAATCTTCTCTCCGTCTACTCAATCTGATGCTGACCCCGTACCACACTGCTCTTTTTCACTCGCGTCTGAGTCGTTCCATGACGATAACTCTTCAGCCTCTAGTGACTCTGATATTCCTGATGAAGGTACCATGGGCACTTCTTCCCAGGTACCTCTGGAGGACTTTACTTCCTGTGCCCAACTCATTATATGAATGGCTAAAACTCTGCAACTTGATGCGCAGATACCGCGACAGGAAAAAGACTTAATCTTTCACGATGTGGATCAGGACAAGGCTTCCCCTCCTAGTTTAAGCCTTATACCAGCACTCTTTGACCTGGTTAAGACCTCCTGGAATAAGTCTCCTTCGACTCTCCAAGTCCCTCGTAAAATCGAGCATCACTACTAGACTCACGGGTAAGACTCTGACTTCCTCACTAAACACCCCATGCCTAACTCCATCGTTGTGGAGGCTACTCAATACAAGTCCCATAGGAGGTCCTCTATAACTCCCATTAATAAAGAGGGAAGAAAGACTGATTCCCTCAGAAAAAAAAACTTTACTTGTTGGCCGCCTTATTGATAAAAATTTCGAATTATCAAGTCGCGATGGGCGCTTACCAAAAGCACCTGTGGGACAGAATTCTCCCCATATTGCAGACTCTCCCCGATCATTCTAAAACCAAGGCTCTCAATACCTACGACGAGGCTAACATCCTCACCAGACAGCAAAGAGTAGCAGTGAAGCATACCGCTGACTCCACTTTCAAGTCCATGCTCTTGACAATGGCCCTCAGATGACATGCCTGGCTCAGAGCTTCTAACATCTTGGATGATGCCAAAGCTAAAATCAAAGACCTCCCCTTCAACTCTAAAATGGATGACATTATGGAAAATATCCATAAAATGAGAAAGACAGCTAAGTCATACATACCATTCCAACCGTATAGGTACCAAAAACCGACTTACAAAAAGATTCCTTACCAGTCATATCCTCAGTACCAGCCCTTTCAGTACAGTAAGCAACAGCAACACGACCGAACGTAACCAGTTGTCACAGTCCAATCCTTCACTTCTCAAGCAACAATATCTAGGGCCTAAAGAACCCTTTCGCAAGCCTCTGCGCAGGGGTAAGTAATACTCCTAATTATTTTCATAATCCAACTAGATTGTTCCCGTTCCTTCCAGAATGGCGCAAAATTACTACGGACAAACGGGTTCTAACCATTGTCGAGAAAGGCTATTTAATAGAATTCAGCAAACTCCTCCACCAGATTTCATCAAAACCACCCCATTCTCCATGTTGTTACGTCGGGAGATTTCTTCACTACTCTTTAAAGGCCTTTCTAAGCAGGCTTTTAAACTCTGGCTCCAACAGCTTCGTTCTTTCCTCTGCGAAAAGACTCTCACTATGGAGATGCCTGCCCTCCTTACACCGACACCTCGCGTTTAAAGGGGCAATAGTCAGAGTTCCACCTTCTGACTCACACAGGGGTTTCTTCTCTCGATACTTTGCAGTCCCTAAGAAAGATGGTGGTATCAGACCCATCATGGACCTTAGAGACCTTAATACATAATATACAAAAAATTCTGTATGTTAACTAAGCCAGTTGCCACCAAGGTTCCATCATCGACCGCTTGATTCCATTCTCCCTCTTCTATCACAGGGAAACTGGTTTGTCACCATCGATCTAAAGGATGCCTATTTCCACATCTCCAGTCATCCATCTCATCGAAAATTCCTCTGATTCCGAGGAATCAGCTACCAACACCACCTACCAATTTGCTGCCCTCCCCTTCGGGTTCTCCACAGCCCCCAGGACATTCGCCAAATGCATGGCTCCGGTGGTAGCCTATCTCCGTATAGCCCCCAGGACATTCACCAAATGCATGGCTCCAGTGGTAGCCTATCTCCGTACCAAGGGAATAAAGATCTTCCCTTACATCGACGACTGGCTTCTGGTTGCAAAATCTTACCAAGATGACATTACAGCCACCAATACCACCCTCGACATCCTAGACAGACTCAGCTTGAAAATCAATTGACAAAAATTGTATCTGATTCCATCTCAGATCGTTGATTATATAGAAGCAAGACTCAACTCAATCCAAGCAAGAGCATTTCTACCTGCTCAAAGAATCGTAAAAATCCAGATGGCAATACAACAATTTTGGCCTCTCGAAACCGTGACTGCATTGGATGTCCAACGCTTACTGGGCCTCATGGCATCCACAACTCTGGTGGTCCTCCATGCTAGACTCAAACTCATGTCACTTCAATCCTGGTTCCTCCAACAACTCAATCCCTTTACAGACTCCCCTATGAAAAAACTACCAGTCATGCCCCATATACTGGACAATCTCATTTGGTGGACAGTTGCCCGCATTCTGTCGATGGGCAGAGTCTTTCAATCTCCTTACCTATCCATACAGGTCACAACGGACGCCAGTCCTTCAGGTTGGGGAGCTCATTTCCAAGGATTGCAAATTCATGGCCCGAAGACAAGGATACAAAGAACATTCCACATAAATCAGCTGGAAATGTTGGTCATGAAGGCTTTTCAAGCTTTCCTTCCACGTATCGAAGGGAAAGCAGTGCAGCTCGTCACAGACAATACCACAGCTATGCACGACATAAACAGACAGGGAGGAACTCGATCCCTGCCCTTCCTTCGCCTAACCCTACAGTTTTGGGAATGGTGCCATGCTCACTGTATCTTCCCACAAGCAATCCATATTTCATCACAGGACAACTACCTAGCAGACCGTCTGAGCAGGCTCCCCACCAGGATGCACTAATGGTCTCTCAATGAGACAATCTTTCAAGACGTATGTCGTTGATGGGGCCAGCCTCCCATAGACCTCTTTGCATTTCATTGCCCCGTGGTGGCCACGACGGCCGTGGTTCGCCCACCTCAGACAAATAATGGAGGAGATGTTCCACTTACCTCCAATACTGTCCCACCTCTCCCAGATGTCCGTTCTCTTCACCTGACGGCATGGAGGATAACCCCTAATTTTGTGCGATCTTAGACCACGCTCGGAAACCGTCCACTTCTTGCCTATACAATAATAAGTGGAAGCCCTTCATTAAATTTACTCATTCCAAGTAAATGAGGGACTTGCCCCAGTCCCAGCCTCCCTCTCGACCGCACTTACCTTCATACTGCATCTCTTTAATCTCGGTCTTGCGCACTCAACTATTAAGGTATACATCTCGGCTATTGTTGCTCACCAACCTCTCCACTCTGGTTCCGCTAAAATCTTCTCCCATCCTACAGTCAAAGGATTTCTAAAGGGCTTGCAGAATATCAGACTGCCCTCACAACAACATGTTCCTCAATGGTCGCTTCGACTTGCACTTGAAGCACTTACCAAACCGCCATTTGAGCCGATGGCAACCTGTAATAGGCCCTCACAACAACATGTTCCTCAATGGTCACTTCGACTTGTACTTGAAGCACTTACCAAACCACCATTTGAACCGATGGCAACCTGTAATGAAAAGTTACTTTCTCTCAAAACTGCTTTTCTTGTGGCCATAACCTCTGCTAGACGTGCTAGCAAACTCTCAGACCTAAGATCAGACCCTCCATACCTACGGGTCCATCCTGACAAAGTCACTTTGTACCTCAACGTGTCTTTCCTTCCCAAGGTGGTATTGGACTTTCACCTCAACCAGCCTGTTGTGCTACCGAAGCTATTTCCTTCGCCAGCCACACAACTTGAGCGTAAGCTCCATACTCTAGTCGTCAGAAGAGCTCTTGCCTTCTGTCTTGACAGGACGAAGCACTTTAGACGCTCTCCACATCTCTTCTTGTGCTATCATGGACCCAGTAAGGGTACTTCTGCCTCTCCACAAACCATATCAAGGTGGATAGTGCAATCAATACAGCTGGCATATCAGCTTGCAGGCAAGCCAATACTGGACTATTTAAAGGCCCACTCTACTCGAGCCGTCTCTACTTCGACCGCTCTGCACAGAGGCGTTCAGATACAGGATATCTGCAAAGCGGCTACTTGGTCGAATCCCCTGACGTTTGCAAAGCACTATCACCTCGATGTCAGGGCCAAAAATGATATTGCACTCGGAAGGGCAATTCTGTCATCTCTGCTACCATGACTGCCCTCCATCCAGTGAGTACAGCTTGCTAATCACCCATTTGTGTTCATTCACAGAGACTACTACGAAGAAAGTTAAGTTACCTGCCTGTAACCGTTGTTCTTCTAGTGGTTCTCTGTGAATTCACACATCCCTTCCTTCCTCCCCGCTGTCTGTCATGATACCATTCTTAAATATCTATTCCATATGGTAACGGCAGACTAGGGAACTGAAAGGAAGGTTGAGGAGGCGGAGCTCATACCCTTGGGGGGACGGGCGGACTAAATTGTTTCTTTTTCCTAAGCTCTAGAATCTTCCGAACGTCCTGCACAGGCTCAGGATAAACCCATTTGTGTGAATTCACAGAGGACCACTAGAAGAACCATGGTTACAGGTAGGTAACCTAACTTTCTCAGTGGGCTTGCACTTCTTAGAGAGAGGAGACTGAGACTTCTCTACCTCTGTGGAGGAAAGGGAGAGCGACATGGGAAACGGTGGGGAGACGGCTCTGTGTTCATGCTTGCGATCCTGAACTTGTGCAGCCTGTACCTATCAGAACGTTGCTCACCCCTGGGACACTGAGATATCTGGAAACGGGAAGTGTTAGTAGTTATATTGGGATGAAAAGTCCCTGAATCCCATGGCCACTGCCATGCTGGCTGTGGCATTCTGGGAGCTCTGCCCCCTTAAAGGAAAATTTCCATTCTCTGAGAATATCTCACATTCAGGAAAACCCATATGCCATTTACCCAAGGTCAGTTATTGTGCTGTGTCTTCTAGAAACTCGCCCCAAATCTCGCTGGTGATGTAAAATAATTGCAGAGCGCAAACTGCCACTGTTGAAATAAATGAGTTTTTTTTGTTTTTGTTTTTGGTTTTTGCTTCTGGCAAAAGGGGAAAAATTCTAGCCTCTACCTTTTGATTAGGTAATATTGCTGCCATTATGCAGTGCCCTCACACTGAGCGACACAATTACAGGTTTATCATTTAGCAACTCTGCCTACTGCGGTTTTATTTTCTCTTGCAGCCCCTGCAACTCCGAGGCCCATACGATGTGGCTAACTTGTATCCTTTAAACACATGTGTTTATGCATTTCAGAGATTGAAAATGTCACCCGCTTTGTGGTATAAAGTCCCTGGCATTGTTCTGACCTCTCCCGCTGACAAATAACATTGTCGGCAATAGCAGCGTGTTGGTAAAATGGTTCCGCAGGAAAAGTGAAGGCCAGTTTTCAGAGGAGGAGGAGGGAGCCTCAAAGGGTGGGGGGAGCCTAGAGACAGAAGGAGCAATGTGCTGATGGCTGGAGGCAGACATGGAAACGCTGCCTTTTTGGGAGGGCTAAGCCCCACTCATCCCATGGGGCTGAGAATGCTGGCTGAAAGAGTTAAAGGAGGCAGAGTAAACGATCACCTGAAAATGTGAGGATTGGCCTAAACAAGTGTGTAGAGCAGAGATAGGGAATGAAGATGTGCCGTTTGGTTTGTTTCGGACTTTGAGGGACCCAGATTTTAAAAATCTGATATGCACAAAACTGTGGACTGCAGTAGGATTTGTGTGTGGATCACACGTTTGGTTTCTTCCCAAGCTCAGTTTTCTATCCCTGTCCCTCTTTCACACTTGTTGAGTCATACCAAAACACAGCCCAGCCATGCCTTGAACCTCTTTTGTCCTCCTTGTGCATTAAGAACCTTAATGTAATTGGCAGAGGGTGGCTTTTTGGCCTCTCTGAAGGCAACGCCAAGGCAGCTGTTTCGACGAATGGCAGAGCGGTCCTGCTTCATGGAGGTGAGCTGAAGCTGTTCAACTATGTTTGCTATTGGTCATCTGAGTTAAATGTAGTTCATCGTGAATTATAACGTAAGTAGTACATAGTAGGAGTAAGCGGGCATGTGCATCTGTGTGTCACACATTCCTTCAGGCAAGAAGCTTATCTTCTGATGAACTTGTGTTTTCCTCACCCATTGCTGGATGTCTTCAGTTACTTGAGGGAGATGTACATTTGCATACAAATTGTAACCATAGCATCAAGTGGAAATTTAAGAAGAGGAATACTGCCATTCAAAATGTGCTTTCTGGAATTCTAGCTCTGTCAAAATCAATAGGACTTGCTTTAAAAATTGTTTAAGAAGGGAGTGGAAGACTGAAATCAAACATGTAGAAGACAGCTTGGCCCACAGGATCCATTTTGGATCCGCACTGATTGTAAGAGTTTTTGGCAGTGACCTGCAAGGTACAAAGCTTTGCAACATTCCTGCTTAACAGAAAGAACATGGGGCACAAAAGTTGGAGTTGCTGCTTGAACATTATTTGGGCAACACCTTTCAAGTCTCCGCAGTAGCAGTTATTATTACTGAGAAAATTCCTCTTCTCCCTGCTCTTTGTTTCTCTTCCTGTTTGCCCTCCAGAGGGGTTACAATTCCCATCCTCCTCCATCGACACGCACAATTTAGGCAATTGTAGTTCAGTAAAATCTGGAGGGCCACAGCCGCCCCGCCCCCCCCCCCATTTGAGACATAGGAATACTTTTATTACAGTTTCACATTTAAATTTATTGTTACCTGAATACTGTACTTGTTTTGAATGAGCAATGAATGTATGAACATTCTGTCATCTTAAGTGGCCTTAAATAGGCTCCTTGACTCCCTAAGTGTGCCTACCTGGGAAGGGCAAGGAGTGTTTTGCGCTGACCTAATTCTGAGGTTTTATATGCGTCTCTTAGCCTTGTGTGCCACTATAATGTAGCATCTGCTCAGATGGGCAGTAGTGACTCCGGCAGGCCAGTTTGCACCAGTTCTGTGGGAGTGGCCTCTTTGGCTGTGCTTGGCAGACCACCAGCACAAATTCGTGCGCCACACAGCTGGTGATGCCAAATGCCAGCCACCATCTGCAAGCACAACCAAAGGCTGTGGGTTTTGGGATGTTTAAAAGTCTCTCTTTGTTGAATTTCAGAAACCAGAAAGACCGCCTCAGGCGTAGTATATACGAAGAAGAAGCCTCGGACCTCAGAAGAAGATGAGACCACTCCTGCTAGTAAAAAAGCCAAGATAGCTTTGTGACAAGCAGAATCTTCACAGCAGTGCCCGTTCGCCTGCCTTTAAACCTTCATGTGGCATTCTGGGAATGGCTGGATGGAATGGCTCGAGACATTCTGGTCACTGTTCTTCCTCAAGAAAATACCACAATTTATTGTAGGGAATCCTCAGTAGGAGTATATGGACCTGTTCTGACTATATTCTTCAGACTCCCTTTTCTGCTGTAAACTCTCCCCACCCCCTGCACAGACTACTATATTCTTCAGACTCCCTTTTCTGCTGTAAACTCTCCCCTCCTCCGCAAAGACAGCTCTTGTCCAGTTGCTTTTTCTGCTACTATATATATTTGCCATATGTATTTTCTGCTACTAAATATATTACTGGGAATGCAGATTTCTTTGTTGCTCCTGCAACTGGACTGCTTAGGAATCCTGACACTGGTTCATCAAATTAGTCTACAAATGTGAGCCTCAGGGAGCAGAGCAACAGGTGTGTGTGTCCATGTGAAGATACTGCACCCTCCGCAGTAGGAATCCATGTTGCCCTTCAGGTTGCTACAGTTCCACAGCTGTATCGGGGACGTGGGGGGTGTTCATGTTACATCCATGAGGATAATGTTAAGTAGGACTGCATTATCAAGATTTGCCCTACCATTGACTGCAATGCAACAGGAGAAGATCTGGGAAAGCAGTGGCTGTGGGTCTGGGTGGCTATGTGAAGCTTCTGGGGCCAGGATTTGACAGCGAACATTTACTGACAACGGTGAGCGTCAGTTAAATGTGGAGGGTGTCCTGTTTGCTTTCAAATCCTGCCTCAAGGCTTTCTGTTGGAAAACCCCCTGCATGTGGTTTTGGAACAGCACTGAGAACTGCAGAGGAAGAAGGTCCCACTGCAGTCCTTGTTAGACTGAAGGCACTTTTGCAGCAGGCAACTTGTAGTTAACATGAGTAAGACACAACTAATCCATTGCCAAGCTGAAGACGAAGCAGCCATCTTGAGCCTAAGTGGAGCATGTGAAGGAAGGCTTGCCTGGCTATTTCTGCTTCGTTATCTGAGAACGCCTGTTCTCCCATTTGACACCCCCCTCTTATCTTCCCTGAGGTAGATTGTAATTGGCCTTCTTGCCTCTCTGCAAAAATCCTCCCCCTCCTCACACTACAGGAACGGGAAGCATCTTTTTGGGATGCCTGACAGCACTGTGCTTGAGGATCCCAGTCATCAGCAAGGAGAGAAGACATAAAATGTGTGCTTGGAGAGACGATTTTGTGCAAAGGATGTCTGGGCGCAGTGGGGCAGGTTGGGGGGGGGAGGCTTGCCTTGTGGCTTATTTGCAAGACCAGAAGTAAAGCACACCAGGAGAACAGTGGGTGGAGGAGGAAGTTTGGGGAGGAATGGTGGCTTCGGCACCCTTTTTCCTCCTGTTGCTTCTCCAGTTTTCAATTGCCTCCCCATTAACGGCCCCCCTTGGTTACTTGTTCAGCTCATCTCATGTTCATCTAACACATGGATTGTGCTGCTGTTGCAGCTAATTAAGCTTGATAACAAGGGAGCAAAGAGTCAGAAGGGGCTTGTGGGGCAGTCCTGCTGTGCCCTGGAGGCCTGCTGATTTGTGGTTATTTATAGGAAATGCTTTTTATAAGCTGCAGGCCTGAAACCGCTAACCCGTCAATAGGAAGGCCAACATAACATTATCAGGATTGCTTTTGACTTGAAATGGCTTTGGGTTTGTAGCCGCAGCTTCAGAAATATTCCAGATCTACCTCGTTATTGATGTGCATAGCCTGAAACTTTGGCTTATCCATGGTAGAACTCACAGTGGTTTGAATTTGACTTTTGAACAAACTGAAGATCCTTAAAAGATGTTTACTTTGCATGAAGTCTCCCTTTTTCCATTGACTCATCTCCTTTAATTTTATTAAGAAACTAACTGCTTTATCGTTTGTGAAGCAATGTGCGGGTTCCCATTCCATTATCTGTACCAGATAATGGGTTTTTTTTGGGGGGGGGGCTCAGCCTAATACAGTGGTAGAGGCTTTTTTTTTTTTCATTTCAGGGTGTAGAGAATATGCCGTTTTAGGATCCTCCTAAAGATTCTTCTCAGCTTCACGGTTCGTAACTTTTGAGTCACCTGCTAACAGACAAGTCAGAAAGTATGTTCTTCTCAGCATTTGATTTGGACTAAATCCAGTTGTTTCTCCCAATTAGAGGAGATCTACTGAATCTGTGGGGTTTATAAGAGTGTTGACTAAACAAGGCCCATTCATTCTGTGGATCTACTCTGGCAGTTACTAGTGACTGGTCTTTATGCAGCATCTCCATCTCGCATTTCTTAAGACAAACAAATAACAAATGTTAGCCAGCTGAAAAAGAGCTTTAGATCTTAAACAGGTTTTAATACAAAATGTACATAAAAAGCCATATAAATATACATTACCTTTCTTCCATTACATACCTTTGAAAATAACATTGCTTTTCTTGTGCACCTTTTTAATCTCTTTGCACAATCTGCACAACTTCCTGTTCCAAGCTATGCCGCTGAAAATGGCTTCCACTATATTGGAATAAAAAACAGACCACTTCCCCCAATAACGTTTAGCAGGAAAGTAGGGCCATTGCTTTCTAATTCCACTTTGCTTTTTCCTTCCTGATTCTCCAACCTCTACTTTTTGCTTTGAACAGGTTACTCTTGACAATGGCAATTCAGCAGATACAGGGTGAGGGTGACAAATGACAGCCTATTGAAAGCAAGCTTGACAGGATCCTGCCAATAGGTTCGGAAACACTCTTGCCTTGTATGAAAAGGAGCTTAAATGCTCTTGGCTGATTCTGATCACCACATTCAGCGACTCCAGGTGTCTATATAGTAGCAGTACCAGCAGGAATTATTGACAAGATCAGCAAGGAATAATAGCCAAAGAAGCATCATGAGCGGAGTGTGGAGGATACAGAATGCCAGTGAGAATAAATAAAGCAACTTGAAATCGTCAGCCTATGCTTCAGGATATTTCCTCCCTGCTCCTGTCCTGTATAGGTGTAACAGTCAGCAAAACAAAATACTTCTTTTCATCCAGTAAAGTTGAGGTTGTTTTCGAAGGTACTGCTCTTCACTTCAAAAAATTGCCATTTTTGCAAGGTAGCTGTCAGTCCGTTCACGTTTTGAGTCTAGTTTTCAGAACGTATCTATCGGGGAACTTTTGTAAGAGTTGTCCTTCAGGCTGTTGAATATTTCCTTAGTGCCATTTTGCCACTGCAGAACAAGATCCATCGGAGTTTTTCCCTCCTGTGTAGGAAAGTCAGGGGAATTGGGTTAATTTTTTTAAATGTCATCTTTGATTTCTATACTCTTCATATTTCTCTGACTTTGATACTTCTCAGTGTTGACAGTGAATTCTCATGGTAACATGTCTGCTGATGCTTCTCTGAAGTAACAAATCTGTTCAATTAGCAGATCTTTCTGACCTACAGAGTACACACCAGGGCAGTTTGTGTACTATGTATTTATGTACAATACACATCCAATTAGAATGTTCTTGTTTTTACTTTGGTTTCTTGTCCTGCTCTTCTAGCACACTCTTGTCAAATTGCATATATTCGTCACAGCCCATCAGATCTGAAAACACAAATGTTCTGGCCTAGAAAGTCATGCAAAACCTACTCAAGTACAAATCAGTCAGAGTTAGTTGCAGTCAAACCCTAGTGCAATCAATGGCGTTGGTTTAATTTATTTTCTTTTAGTAACTTCTATGTTGTGTTGCCATATAAACTCAAAGAGGCTGCTATCATAAAAACAGGAAGGCATCATATTGCTATCACAAACAAGTACCTCTACAATGGTTTTGATCATACTAAGGACTAATTTCTATGAGATACCTATCCAGGATTCCAGGTTTGGTCTCATTTAAAGGGATCCCGAGCTCTGTGTGGGCCTCCCTTGCTAACACACAAACTGTGGCCAGAAAGTATGCCCTACTAGGATCCAGATGCTGCAAGTAAAGTAGCCAGTTTATAGTTTAAGACGTATGCAGTAATTGGCCTTTCTTGTTCCCCGCACCTTATAAGTTGTAATTAAAACCCACAGGACTGTCCACATCTATCATGAAAACACATGGAAAAACCGGTGAATAGAAAGTTAAATAGGTGGTTTCTCTTTAATAGTCTATAGCAGTGGTCCTCAACCTTTTCCAAATTGTGGACCAGTTGAGGGGGTGCACACTCATACATGTACAGGTGGGCGGGATGCGCTCTCGTACATGCACGGATGGGGGCACACACGGTGGGTGGGGTTGAGCTCACAGGTGGGCGGGGCACCCGTGCGTGCAGGTGGGTGAGCTGTGCATGTGGCGGGAGTGCATGGGGGGTGGGATATCTGTTTCCGTGGCCCGGTCCTGCCAAGGCCATGGCCCGATACTAGGTTGTGGACCAGGAGTTGGGGACCCCTGGTCTATAGTTTTCCTGTCTGTTCTACAAATAACATTATGGTTGTTTGGGAAAAAATTGGGGGAGGGGAAGCCATGTTAAAAGAGTAACATATTTCAAGTTTATATATTTAGAGATTTTGTAAATCAGTTATGTACTGGTTAATGGAGGCATTTACTTTGCTGTTTGTTGCTTCTGTATAGCTGTTTTTCTTAATATGGTAGGAATATATTTTGTAGGAAAACTAAACATGATGCACTACTTACAGCATTCTTTATGTTTAGATTGGCACCATACAGAATCAGGAGTCGAATCATTTTGTAGCGATTGAGCCTCACTGCATCATGCATAGGGGTATCACCCTCCTAGAACAAGGGACAAGAAATTAATTTGGTAAGCTCTTGAGTTATTCCATCATAAAGCTGAAAGGGCTTAACCAATTCTACTAACATCTTACTGCCAAATACAGTAGAAATGCCAAGGGCCATCCTGATGCTAAATTGGAATGAGTGAGCAAAGGGACTCTAAATGCCTTTTGTACTCATAAAAAGAGCAAAATTATCTCTTATCACTGTAATGTAACCTAGTTATCGTAAAAAGGATTTCATGAGAAGTAAGCCATTAATAATAACCATGCACAGTCAATTCAATTTAAACTTATGGTGTTTCAATTTAGACTCGGGGGTTTTCCAGGCAGAAGTGGTTTACCGTTTCCTTCTGGAGGTGGCCTGGGACTGTGCAGCTTGATGAAGGCCACTCAGGCCGGCTCTTCTCATAGAAGGGACAGTGGGGAGTGGAACGCCCCTCCCCTCTGGCTCTGCAACCAGTTACCTAAACTACTGAGCTATCTGGCAAGCTACAACCCATTATTTGTAGCCTGTAACTTCCAGCTTTAGGAAGGAGGTTGTGTTAGGTTCCTCTGTTCAAGGAATCCAAGTTATCAATCTGAGCAGCATCACAAGTTTCCTTTCTCCCCTCCCATCTGCCATTTTAAAGGCCATATGTTTATCATATCCCTGCCCCCACCTTTTAAAATAAGAGTTGAATCTCCACACAGCAGTATGGCTTGAAAAGAAAATGCAATGTTGCTTCATGAGAAAGGGACTCTTGGTATGTTGGGTAAGGAAACTAGCATTCCAGATAAGGTTGGACTATCATGCCCATCATCCGTGACCACTGCCAATCTAGAATGCCTAGGAGTTGGATCATCAGGCGTTTCCCTGGTCTCTCTACCCCTTGTTCTCTGGAAATTGCTTGAAGAGGATTTATACAGTGAGAAGACTTACACGGTCCTTGGCGTTGAGGTCGGCTTCGCAGGCAATGAGGTGTTCTCCACAGTCGTACTGACCTGTCCTGACTGCCACGTGCAACGGAGTGCTGAGCAACTAATAGAAAATTGGGGAGCAGGGGGTTGTGCACAAGAGAAGCATGGTCAATAGGAAGGCAATACAAAAAGTGTGAGAAATAAATTTGGCCCTTAAACCACATCCCCAGTGTACAACCTCTCAGACCAGAGCTTTTGGCAGGAGGAATGGAATACCTTGTCTCTTGTATTCCTGTTGATTCCTTTGTTTAGCAGATATTTCAGGACTTCCACGTTGCCCCCACGGCATGTCCAGTGAATAGCCGTTGACTCAAGCTAACCCAGAAGAAGCAGAGGAAATAAAATAATGGGTTCAGGACTTCCACGTTGCCCCCACGGCATGTCCAGTGAATAGCCGTTGACTCAAGCTAACCCAGAAGAAGCAGAGGAAATAAAATACTGTAATGGACATGAATGTAAATGCAAGAATAATTAATTTACAGACTGAGAAAGAGAGAGAGAATGTATGAGTGTTATATGTGCAGGGAGCCATCTTTACCAGTATTCTACCTAACAATAGCTCTTCAATGAGAGCAGAGTCACTGCTTCAGGAGCCACTGACTAATTCTGCAAGGCCTGGTCAGTTATGCAGTTGGGCCACTTCCCTGCCCAGATGTGGACCAGAGACAGCAAGAATTCTAGTTCTCAGAGAGGTGCAGATATTTAAAGTTCAAGCTCATCAGCATTCTTTGATTTCCCCCGCCAGAGCTCATGGTATCCAAATTTCATATGAACTTGCCCCATGCAAATGTGTACATATTTTTGTGCACATTAAAGAACACACTTGTTTTTGTACACTGGCTGAAGTATGTGTGCATTTTAGAATGATACATTGCTTTCTTTACACATATTTCAAATATTTGTCCTTTGCAGAAGATTGCAGGCGATTGCACCTGGTTCCACAATAACAGCTAAAAGATGCAAAACTGTAAATCCATTTTTTAAAAAAACCCAGTGGAGCAAATCTGTCACTTATTCCTAGTTCTTGGCGCTTGATTACTCAAATCCTGATAATCTTCGTCAAATGTATGAGCTAACCAGCTGCTGCTGGTAATGAAAGAAGCTAATCTCTGTCAATCAGCCAGAAGACTGTTACATTTGCAAGTACAGCTGGCGCTTCTTACCATATCTTGGAATTCAAGTTGGGCTCCAGCTTCTACTAACTTTTCCACGACTGCCAGGTGTCCTTCTGAGCATGCTCTGTGCAAGGCCGTGCGTTTATACTGTCAATTAGAACAACAACACTATAGTCAGTTGTGAGCGTTTACCTTTGCTTCTTGATAAAAGTAGATCTCTTGAGATTTAAAGACAAGACACAAGTCTTCTGATATAGAGCCAGCAAGAACAGCACTGCCAACTCCGAAACCAAGGACAGAGTCTGTCACGGAGACTGAACTAATCACGTGGACGGATCCAATGAGTACTGTACATAATGAGGACAGCCATATGATAGATCCGGTGGAGCTAAGGACATCGGCAGCTTTCCCAGACCCATCAAAGGAAGCACAATCAGAGATGCTGACCAGGTTAAAAGAACTGCGCCTTCGGCTCCAGAACTCAATAAGACCTGTTAATCCACCAGAGGGTAACACACAGGACATTATGGGACCAAATGACATTGAGGAGATCTCCCCAATTATGTTGAACCAGCTTCCAGTTAGCAGCGGGGGAGAATCCCCCATGTTAGCAAGTGGCTCCTCACGGGGGTTCGAGCTGCCAAATGTAAAGGAGGTTAGGACCCCACTGATTATACCATCGACATCTGTCCCAGGAGATACAAATCAAGAGTCGTTCAAACAGCCAGTATGATATCTCCCCTCCAAAAGTAAAAACTTTCCATGTAGCGAACTAACACATCAAGATGAAGGATTATACTTTATTTGCTAGTTTTCTAGGGGTGGGCCTTTAATGATAGTTTATGAGACTCATGTGTTGGGAAACTATATCATAAACATTCTTCGTAACAGGTCCCTTGAATAGTACTGAAGATCTGTTTAAAGAAGTACCGAATGCTGTACTCTTAGGGATTAGAATACTGTAATGCTATGAAAAGTAAAGAGAGAATTATGGCAGAAAGTCGTGTCAGTGGGTTTGTTTTGTTTTTCTGTTTCAACCTTCAAACAGAATTTCCTGAACAGAAGAGATGTTTCCATACAGTCCTTCCACCTTTCCCCAGAGAAATGTGGAAAAAATGTGTGAGGTGGAAACGTATGCCTTGAAATGGTTAAAAGATCATCCCCTATACGGCACCAAACTACAGCTCTCACAATCTTTTAGGAAGTACTGTGCCTGTTAAATTAGGGTCAAGACACTATCGGTAAAAGTGCTTTCAGCAGAATTAGAACAGAAACATAAATGTAATACTGTACCTCATCACAAACGTTTGGGTCCCCTTTGTCTGCTAGATATTTTTCAATGACTGGCATCTTGTTTTCCAAAGCAGCCTTAAAAAATGTAGGAACATCCACAGGTTCTGTCTGGTAGTGAACAGAAATGGGTGTTAGGCTGGGACAGTTTGCGTAAAACCCATCCAGTGCTCAGCCCTATGAATATGAAGTGTAGGTAAGTTGCAAGACTTACTATAACTTCTGGCTCGGGTTCCTTCAAAACAGGTACTTTAACTTTCTTGATTTTTTTCCTTTTCTTCAGCTGAATGATTTTCTCAAGGTCTTCCAAGCTTTCAAGTTTTGATCTCTGCTCTAATTTCTTTTTCTTGAGCTGAAAGAAGTAAAAAAAAAAGGCAGTAGTTTCAGAAAACCACCTGCCCAGATATTAAAAATAAGAATTCTTGAGCTGAAAGAAGTAAAAAAAAAAGCCAGTAGTTTCAGAAAACTACCTGCCCAGATATTAAAAAGAAGAAACTAGTAAAGGTAAAGGTTCCCCTTGACAATTTTTGTCCAGTCGTGTCCGACTCTAGGGGGCGGCGCTCATCCCGCTCTTCAAGCCATAGAGCCAGCGTTTGTCCGAAGACAATCTTTCCATGGTCACATGGCCAGTGTGATTTAGACACGGAACGCTGTTTACCTTCCCACCGAGGTGGTCCCTATTTATCTACTCGCATTTGCATGCTTTCGAACCGCTAGGTTGGCGGGAGCTGGGACAAGCGACAGGCGCTCACTCCGTTGCGTGGATTCGATCTTACGACTGCTTGGTCTTCTGACCCTGCAGCACAGGCTTCTGCGGTTTAGCCCACAGCGCCACCACGTCCCCTAAGAAGAAGCTCAGTAACATCAATTTCAATGGAAGTTTCTCAGGGATCCCCCTTTGGCAGTTGAAACCATCAGAGGAAACTTTGCTTCAGGTTTTAACCCTTGTGGTAGACATGGATGTGTTTACAGAGGAATACTAGGCATGATGTATAATTCCAATATATACAGTGAACACAGTGGCCAAAATTTTGTTTTGTAATGTATGTATGATAAATAAAGAGCTCCTGAGGCACTTTTCAGAGTCCCGTGCACACACTAAGCCAGCATATGCGCATGCCCCTAAGAATCACGGTGGGCTTTTAAAATGGACCCCAAAGAGCAGATTGAAACTTACAACTTTGCTTCCATTAGGCAACTTTTCTTACATTACACAATACGATCTTAGCTACTATGTGGTAGTGGTGTGCATTATGCGTGCAAATCACACAAATTAAGCTTGCCCTGCCCCCAGAAAAATTCCTGCAGACATTCTACTAACCCTTTAAAATCATGCATGGTATATAGAGAAGGTGGATTCCCTCCATCACAGAGTACTCTCCTTGCCCTAAAATGTAAGAAAAGCACAAGGAGGGCCTAAGACATTTTTATTCCTCTCTCCCAACCCAACTACAGAAGTCAGCAAGGGTGGCAGTTGAATCTTACTCCAGTGTAACACCCCACACCGTGCTGGAGGACAGAAGGTTAGCTTTGGCTGTGCTGTCAAGGCTGTCCTCCTGTAGGATCGGATGCTGTGGCCTACAGCAGAAGGGCGGTGATGACTGCTCTTTCCATAGGTCCCAGGATCTTCTGCTCAAGGCATGTGCCACTGCTTAATGGCAGAGCCTGGTCAGGATCAGTATGCAGTCATGGAGTGGCTTACAAATAACGGAAATAGTTCGGTGCTTTGTAGGATTCAATCTTATTAGAACTCTTCCACAATGTACTCCTCTCAGTTTATATTTAAAACACAGGCCACATCTTTCAGACACGGTGGCAGCCCAGCTATCTTCTTACACGGAAGAAGGTGCTAACAAGAGTGATTACACATGACAGAATTTATCCTCCAAATGCAGAATACATATTTAATTGGCAGATTCTTTGCACCTGTATTTTGTAGTGACTTTGATCCAGCCATTTCAAGGTACCCTTTTCTTACAAACTCAATTATAAGTGTTCCTTGGTGGGGGTGCAATGGAAGGTCTGGTGTCAAACCTTTTAAAAACTGTCAAAATTGAACCGCCCCTTAAATTCCAGACTGTATTGTTATTCATCATTTAAATAATCCATCACCAGTGTGAAGCTGTAAAATACTAATTCATGAGCTCATGATAATCTGTTACTTCAAAGTCAGAATCTGTGGATTTCAGCACTACTAACTTTGCTATTTTCACCTCCCCTTGGGAAAAGCTGTTCCCCTAGACTTTGTGTGTGTGTGTGCGTGTGTGTGCAAGGTATTCAACATGGTGCCAACACGTGACATGTCAAATGCAACTCTGCAGACTCTACTGAATAGATACAAGTGATCAGATTTTTGCAAAGCTACAAGGGAAAACATTGCAGTGCTGGAAGATGCCTGACAGTTGTGTAAATAACTACCATGTAGCAGCAGCAGCAACAATAAACATCATTAGAAAGTATGCATTTTACAGCAGTCATGTCAAGAATGCTACGTAATACTGTGTATAGAATATGCTCAAAAGTCAGAAAGGGATAGTGTGCAAACTAAACAACAAAACTCAATATTTTGGGGATGGCCCAGGAGGAAGCGAGCAAGCTGTTGATTTGGGGCTTTGCCTCAGTATATTTGGCCATCCAGACTGGGACTTTCAGTCATGACTATCAGCCATTTTCAAGATTTTCAAAACTACATATTCCACACAGCCATGCAGCTTGAGAAACTGCATTGGGCATGCACAGAAATTGAATGTGGGACACTATGTCTGCAAAGCTTGTGCAGAAAGGTATAGCATACCCCTTTAAATATTTTACAAGACCCTAATTCACAGTTTTATAATTATAATCAAGTCACACAGAGACCTCTAGGCACAGCTTGGCAATGTGGTATGACTGATCCTGTGAATGACTGAGGATCTTCCCTTTCCAGAGTACTCCTATCAAAACTTCTTTGTTGTTTGTCTCTATAGTTCCTCCTAATGTTATCTTTTCTTAAATGATAATGGGAATTCAAAACTTTTGAACTACAGAAGTTCAAGAAGATGCAGAAGGAGTACATATTTACCTCAGCTTCAAGCTGTTTCTCCTCTTTGTAGGTCAGATTGCGTCTTGACAGTGAGGGATCAGTGATTGTCTTCAGATCCTCTTGTTTTTCTAACCTCACAGCTGCTTCATACTCTCCATTTTTGAAGTCCTCTGGGAGGAAATCCCCTGCCTCCCTAGCATCCGCCTTTTTGCCTGTTACCTGTCAAAACAAACAAACAAAAAAACAAAAGATGGTGACTTAGGTTCAGTGTTCCAAAGACTTTCTGACAGATCTGGAGGGTGAAAAGGTACATGTAGAGTAGGGTAGTGAAGCCCTTGAGAAGGACAGAAGAAGGAATGAATCTGCTGGAAGATGCATGTGAATCAAATGTCCCCATAGCAATATGGAGAGGGAGTGGGCTGATATTTGAGGGCATGAGAGTTGGCAGGTTTCAGGACACCTGCTGACATCTCAGAGAAATGTCATCTTTGTTTGGGTCTTCAGGCAGGGAGACATATTTCAGGGCATAAGGTGCAAGAGGAGGAGCAAGTTTCATTTTCTTGTGTGTGGTGACTTTATAACCTAGGCATCCATCTCCTTCCCATTCTAAACTGTGACCAAAGTGAACGGGTTCAGCATGAAGATGGTTGTATGTGTATTCAGCCGGCAATGTTTAGGAAGTAGTGTAGGAAACCAATGTTATCTGTCTCATACAAACGCATTGGTTGAAATCCAGTAGCAAGTTGCACTAGAGTAGACCTATCAAATTAGTGGGAATTTATTGAGTCAACTCCTCCATAAATGACACTGTTACAATGGGCCTAACTTTGTGATTTGCTACTGGATTTCAGCCATTCTTTTGTAATTGTAACACGAGGATCTTCTCGCAGTGACATCACAGTGTCTGGCTTCAGCTCCTAAATCTTGGAGAATAGGAAGTTGCTGATCTTGCACTCCTAGGCAGCATGCAGTACGGCTTGCTAGAATCCAAGTGCTCAGGGGAATAGGTAAGAATCATCACACCCTAGGAAGGCCAACTCGAATGTTAAGAGTGAAGTGACTGTCAGATAACAGACTTTACATGCCATGAAAGGGCAACAAGTTATTACTTGTTTAATTTGCAATCACTGTAGTGTTACTACTAGGAGGTGCTGGTGGGATTATCCTCATGCGCCAAAATTATGCCACTGGCTTCAGGTACTGTATTCCTTGAAGAGATTTTCAGGTAGGGGAGATGAGAAGTTGACTGACAAGGAGATTGAAGGAAAGGTTGCTGAGGAGGCAACCAAGAATAAGAGGACCCTGAAGGAAAAAAGAAATACTGTAGAAATCAGAAATAAGGGAACTGAGAAAAGAGATGGGTGCTTTCCCCATGCCAAACAGAAGCAACGGAAAAAGGAAGTCATGCCTGTGACTAGGGTCCAGCAAGTGGGGCTTTGCTTCAGGGTGCCAAAATTAGGGCCAGAAATTTAGAGGTGAATCTACTGTTGAGACTTAGCAATACCTATCTCCTAGTCATTCTCTCTCTCTCTCTCTCTCTCTCTCTCTCTCTCTCTCTTCCTGGAGGGTGAGGGACACTACATTCTGAACCTCATTTCCCACGAGGGTTGTGCCTCATGGTGGATTAGGTGGGAAAGGGTACCGTTTAGCCCAGCTGCCCAAATGACTAGCTACAGCTCTGAAAGAGATGTCAAGGCCACACAAAAGAGGGGAGTGCTACATGAGAAGAAAACAGGAATGGTAAGAAAGGAGACTGAGTCTGTGAAGGAAATCAGGCACTAGAGGCAATCACCTGAATATAAAAGACCTGAGAACAAAATAGGTAAGTGGGGGAAAATGGAGAAACTAAGAGGGGAATCATACTGAGGTAAAACCGTACAGATAGGAAGGTCTATGCAGTCTTTGAAAGAAAGCAGTTGATAGGCAAGTGGAGGTTTAGAAGGCAGGGATTGTGAGTCAAGGGTGCACCACCTTGCTGAGTCTAAAGCTCAGACCCCGACAGAAGAAGAGAAGAAGTATACTATCTGTGACCATAGCCATCCTGCCTGTTAAATCTTAAAAGCACATAACTCTACTTCCAGATTTTGAACCTGCTGTGTACACTATGTTTGCAATGATCAATCCATACAATGCATTCATGTAAAGTTAGATAAGGCTACCACAATGGATCCCTGAAAGCAACAAAACAAATTAGTTATGACTAATTTATTTCCCACAGCATTCAACAGTCATGACTAACTTTAGCTAGACATGGGGCAATGACTAGGATTCTAAGAACTACTTTGGGTATATCGAGGAGCTTAGTTTCACCCAATGGAATTTTAATGCTCCCCCCACCTCCCAGCTTGATTAGCAGATTCATATGCCACCTGCTTCTGAAATTCCCCATGCAGCAGTGGATCCTGTCCACCTTCAATGAACGTCTCTTGGGTGGTTCCTTGAATGCAAGATAGTTTGGTTTTGGCTTTATCACAAACGACATGCTTAGAAACCCTGTATGTATTTTACTAAGGATTCATTCAAAGAACGTAAGAGCAGGGATCAAAGTTTTACATCACAAGCATATGCATCTCTACCCAGAAGTACGTTCTAGTAAGTTTAAGAGGACTTACTCTCAGATCAATATTTAGGATTTTTCTTTGTTTCTGCTCGACAGAGTCAGTAAGTAATGATTCATGTTTGTGTTCAAATCTGATAAGCTAACCTCTCTAGTGCAGTAGTGAATTCTCTTCTGCTTCCCTGTGAAAGATGCTATGGTAAACAGGAAATGTATCTGATGGACCCTTTCAGGCATGCAACCATCTCAGAAACCCCACATGGTGTTTGTTTGTTGCTAACCCCTACATTGTGAAGGCAAGAGGAGAAGGGGACGACAGAGGATGAGATGGTTGGACAGTGTCATCGAAGTGACCAACAAATCCGGGAGGCAGTGGAAGACAGGAGGGCCTGGAGTGCTCTGGTCCATGGGGTCACAAAGAGTCGGACACGATTTAACAACTAAACAACAACAACCCCTACATTAACAACACAGTAATAAAGACATTAGAAATGAGAAGGTGCTTCTTAAGCCTAGTCACTCAGCTCCTCTTTCTCATCTATTAAGCTGCCCAGAATTGTTCCCAATTACTTCTGACTCCAGCTTGCATATTTGGCACAGTATAAGCATAGCTAGAAATTCATTCCCCAGTTTCTTTGCTGAGAAGCTAATGTAGACAAAACAGATGCAACTGGTTCCTGTGTAACATCACAGGTGAAGAGCTGGGACTCTTTCTCTGTTCCCATCCCAGGTAATAGCTGTAGTTTGATGCAGACCACCGTGCAAGTCCCATTGTGGCAAAAGTGGATATACTGTATAAATAAACAGTTTTTTTTAAAAAACCAAGCTTTCTTTCTTCTCTTAGGGTAGGACTTGATCTCTTTTTTTCTTACATATGGAATAATGTCCAGTTACAGTAAGTGCTTTTCATATGTGACTAAAGTGTTCACGTGCATTGTTTCAGTAATCTTCACAACAGCCTTATAAGGCAGGTCAATATTACAGTATTAGCTTCCTTAATGTAATAAAATACTTTAAGACTCCAAAGTAGCACCTTGACACACGTCACCAGAAAGCACACAACTCAGTGGATGTCTAAATCATGGATCTTGTGCTCATAGCTCACATTCTTAATCAGCATGTACATACCCAACACAGAGACACACACACTCATCAATCTGTTCTAGAGCCCCAGCACAACCTGCTCTGGCATGGCATGGCAGAAGAAATGAAATGCTTTTCTTAATGATACAGTTCACAGAATATAAACTAGGAAAGAATGTGACAACACCTATGCTATTTTATCTAAACATAGTGCAAACCTTTAAAGAACCATCAGTACCAATGGGAGCTTTTGTACCTACCAGCTCTTCTACTCTCAGCATCATCATAGTTCCTGTTGCCTTATGGATGTTACTGTCCTTTAAGGAATATTCCTCCCACCTCCCCAAGGCAGCTTTACTGAGATATGCCAGTGTCTCCTTTAGCTTATATATCTCTGCAAGAACTTCTTCGGAGTGAGATAATCTTCCAACGCGGGAGCACCAAGTATGTCGTCAGCCCCGCCAACTCTGAGATAGGTGCTCTCGCATTCCAGACATGTTAACTAGCCAGATCTAATGTCAAGGGTAGGAATTGGGGGGTGT